TAGAAAACTGGAAGTGGCGCTGTGGCTCAAGCAGTAGAGAGCTCGCCTGGAGCTGAAGAGCTGAGGGACAGTGCCCAAGCCCAGAGTTCAAGCCCTACAACTGACTAAAAAAAAAAAAAAGGAGAGAGAAAAATGGTAAATGGCTCTGCAGACATTTCAAATATCTTAGAGACTGAACCTGTGATTACAGGTTCAAAATACTAAGTGCTGATAACAGAAAGAGATCACTGAGGGGCCTTGCATGCCTTGCATGCATGAGGCCCTGAGTTCGATTCCTCAGCACCACATAAGCAAAAAGAAAAAAGCCGGAAGTGGCGCTGTGGCTCAAGTGGTAGAGCGCTAGCTTTGAGCTGAAGAGCTGAGGACAGCGCCCAGGCCCAGAGTTCAGGCCCCACGACCGGACCCCCCCCCCACCAAAAAAAAGGGATTACTGACCAAGGCCACCACCTTCCAGATCCCTGCATCCCACAAGCCCTACCTATGGCTGAAACAGCTTCACATATTGCTTGTACTGAAGCTCCAGAGGGCACAAGCCCTGTCCACATCCTTGCGGGGCTAATTCTGCAGTTACGCAGAATGCAGGAACTGAAAAGGCATATCTGCCTCTGCTTAAATTCAAAGGATGCAATGTTTCTGTCCAGACAGAAACTTGGTGTTGGAGTAGAGCTGTCACTGGGACAGTGTCTACTGAAGCAGCCATCATGATCCCTGAATAGTAGAGCAGTGTAGTGTGCAGTATCTGCTCCGGTGAAACTTTCAGGCACCAGTGTGCAGTCTAACCCAGGAACACAAAGCATGGACAGACTCCATTGAAACCAAAGAGGTGGGACTGCCCAATTTCCACTTTAATGTTTCTAGAAGTTATACATGGGAGTAAAAATTATAGAATCCTAAACTTAATGTCCTCTGGGATTTCGTACTTTCTTAAGGTCCATTACCCTTCCTTCTGGCCATTTTGGAACAAGAATATCCATCCTACAACTGTCTTTGAATTTTATTGGAAGTGGATAGGTTGTTTTCACTTTACAAGCTCAAAAATGAGACTAGATTTTGAATTCATGTCGGAACAAGTTAAGATTTTGGGGACTACTGCATTTTGTATTATAAGGAGATGAATTTTAGGAGGGCTGAAAATGGTTTGCCTGGGCAGAAAAGTCCATGAGACTCTTATCTCCAATTAACCACCAGAAAACGGGAAGTGGCGCTGTGGCTCAAGTGATAGAGCGCTAGCCTTGCTGAAGAGATCCAGGACAGTGCCCAGGCCTAGAATTCAAGCCCCACAACCAATGGAAGAAAAAAGAAGAAAAAAGTATTGTTTCTTGTAACAGGAAAACATTAATACTACAACATATCTCCTCTTGTGATTCTTTTATTGCTTATATTTAAAAAGCCCCAAGGGACTGGGATTGTAGCTTAGTGGTAAAGTGCTTGCCTAGTATGCATCAGGCCCTGGGTTCTATTCCTCAGTACCACATAAACAAAAAAAGTCATTAAATCATAAAAAATATTTTTTTTTGGGTCCGGTTGTGGGGCCTGAACTCTGGGCCTGGGCGTTGTCCCTCAGCTCTTCAGCTCAAGGCTAGCACTCTACCGCTTGAGCCACAGCGCCACTTCTGGCTTTTTTTCTTTTTGCTTATGTGGTGCTGAGGAATTGAACCCAGGGCCTCATGCATTGCAAGGCAAGCACTCTACCACTGAGCCACCTTCCCAGCCCCAAATAAAATAATTTTTAAAAATAAATAAAAAATTAAAAGTCCCAAGTTTCTTGCCACCCACTCAAAGATGTCTATGACCATATTTAACTTGCTTTAAGAACGACATCTTTTAAGTGTGGTAAGCCAAGCTCAGAAACAAACAGCGCATGTTCTCTCTCATATGAGAAAGTTAGATCTAATATACACTGGAACATGATCAATTATACAGGACTGCAGACATTCACACAGTGAGACCAAAGGAGGATAGTCTTAGGGAGGAACACAAAGGAGCAATGCCTATGTGCAACTGATCATATAAAATAATATAAACTGAAATGAACCCTGGGAAATGAAAAGGTTTTTTTATAACTGTTTTTGCTTTATTTTCTTTTTGTCTTGTTTGTTCATTTATCTGTCTTTGGGAACGTAAGGGGGGCACAGAAATGGAGGGACAAAGGATGAACAAATACAGCAGTGGTACTCACTAGACACTTTGTTGAAGATGAACTATTACACTGTGGGTGGGAATGGGAGGGAAAAACTGGGAGATAGGGAAGGGGTGGCATTGTCCAAAAAGAAATGTCATTACTTGATTCATGTAGCTTTAACTGTTCTGTCACAATAGTAGTAGTAGTAGTAGTAGTAGTAGTACTAGTAACAATATAAAAAGGTCCTGGAAAAGGAATACACTACATTTTTCTAATTTACACCTTATGTTTTAGCTAAATCAATCAGTCGCTAAACTTTATGTTTCCCTCATCTCTTCCTCTTCCTTTACTTGTGTGCGCCAATACTGGGACTTGAACTCAGAGAGTTCCAGAGCTTGAGCGTTTTTACTCAAAGCTGGTATAGCTAGAGCCAAATCTCCACTTCTGGCTTTTTGCTAGTTAATTCAAGTCTCATGACTTTCCTGCTCAAGCTGGCTTCCAACTACAAAGCTCAGATCTGAGCCTTTTGAGTAGTTAGGATTACAGGTGATAATCGCCCACGCTCATTCCATCCCACACTATGCTCTTTGATGGCAGAATTTTAGAACTCCTTATGCATATACCTTTGCATGTATTCATTATTCAACAAACAATTGATAAGTATACCTATGATTAAAATAACTGCTATCCAACTTTTTTTCTCCAGGTTTCAGGCATGCTAGCAATCAATCTACCAAGGGCCTACACTTCAGCGGTTTTCAGTTCTATTGTGTAAATTTCTCCACACTAACCCCCCGCTTAACAATCTACGGTTTCCAGACCACCAAAGGCTTTCTGATTCATTGATTCCAACATTGGGGAACTGAGGGGAAAGCAAACTCGGATTAGAAGGGTCGGGGATGAGGGGAGTCTCTCAAGAAGAGTTAATGTAGTAACGACTCCTGAATCAAACACTGTGCAGAACACCAGACAACTGTTCGAGTATGTGAGTCACGTGGCTCTGCAGAATGTCGGCGGTCGTCAACGTGGTTTCAGGGTCCACGTTAACAGACCACAGGGCCAGCTGCCACATCCAACTGTGCCCGGTTTAAGGTGCTGATGACGACGACCCACCTCCCTTCAGACCTGGGCAGCGGGGTTCCGGCCTCCCAGAGCCTTGCCCACACGTGGGTTCCCCCCACAGCCCGAGGGGCGTGACTCACACCTCCCCCCTCGCCCATTACCTTCCCCCGGGCTTCGTCAAGGACCCTGCCCCTCGGAGCGGTCACCCCAATGCGACACTGAGTAAAGACCCGCACAAGTCACCAGCCCCCCTTTCTCGCCTCAAAGCCTTTACACTCCCCACTCCTCACCTGTTCCGCCGACACGGCCCCCTTCCCCGCTCCACTCCCCCCGCTCTTGGCGACTCGACCGCTGCCGTCCGCCATCTTCGCCGCTTACTGGGTTTCCGGCCTGCGCAGAGCAGCCCGCCTTACGTCACATCCGGTCTTGTAGTGACCGCCCACTCGCCCGGGTGATTCTGGCTCCTGGCTGTTCTGCGCCGCGGATCGGATCCTGCGAATCCTCTGGGTTGTATCTTCATGTAGGACCTGCTCTGTGTCCCTCCGGTTGCGGTGAATTCCACCTGCTGTGCTTTGATTTGTGCAACAGAGATTTCCCCCACCGCAGGGAGAGGCGGGAGAAGAATGGCTGGGGGCCGAATGGGTTGGGAAGAGGGGGGTGTCGCAGTTTGGGATCGGGTCATGTGTCCGCTGTCCATGTTGTGGGGTGAGGGGGACTACGAACCAGGGCGAACCTCAGAGAATTTGGTGTAAGCGGGAAGATACGCTTCGAGTCAATAGGACCGTGCGAGTGCGCTGCCGAGCAAAGTTTCCAAAGATGACTTTTGAACTGCGGAAATGTTTGGCAGAGGGAAGGGCTTCAGTTTATTGTGAGATTGCTGTAAGTTGAGGTATTCAGACGCTAAGCTTTGTCCCTTTCCCCCTTCGTCCATATTATGATTTCCTCTCCCTAGCCCTTACCTGCTTAATAGTAAAAAAGTATTTTTGAAGCTTTAGGGGTGGGAGGTCAGAGCCCTAATTCTACCTCAAAATGGAGAGGTCACAGAATCCTAGAAAATCATTGCTTGAAGAAGGGTTTGGTGTCCTGATTTCTCACCTTCCTCAGGCTGGGCTTTACCACAAGGCCTTCTCACCAACTCCTGTCCCTTCTGTGTCCTGGATTCCAGAAACCTCGACTCTCAGTACTTTGTGCTCAGTCCAGGTAACATTTTGCTTTGTCTTCACTGCCTAGCACATTGTAGATGCTCAATATTTGTTAGCTGAGTGGTAGGAAACAAAGGTGTTAGCCATCACAGAGCAGTTAAAGAGCCCCACTAGCTCTGTGTTAGTATGCCAGGTAAAAGCAAAATAGAAGTCCAACTTCCCGCCTCTCCGTCTGAGGCCCTATCATTAAACTTGAGTCTCTCTGTGCTAGGAAATCTGAGATTCTTGCCTGTGCCATTCATAGGCCCAGAGCCATGGCTATCTCCTCTTCCTCCTGGGAGCTGCCCCTGGTGGCTGTATGCCAGGTAACATCGACACCAGACAAGCAACAGAACTTTAAAACATGTGCTGAGCTGGTTCGAGAAGCTGCCAGATCGGGTGCTTGCCTGGCTTTCCTGCCTGAGGCATTTGACTTCATTGCTCGGGACCCTGCAGAGACACTACAGCTTTCTGAACCACTGGATGGGAACCATTTGAGCCAATATACCCAGCTTGCCAGGTATCAGGAAGTTTGGGGGAGAGGCAAAATCTTTGTTGAAAACTGTTGCTGGGTTACCAGATATGGGAGTAGAGTCTTGAGACAAGATGTTAGTGTCCCCTCCCTTTCGCCAGGGAATGTGGACTCTGGCTGTCCTTGGGTGGTTTCCATGAGCGTGGCCAAGACTGGGAGCAGACAAAGAAAATCTACAATTGTCATGTACTTCTGAACAGCAAGGGTATGTCTTAAATTTCTTAGGGTTGCCTCTTCCAGGTTCTTCCATCTAAATTCAATATTCTCCAGAATTGTTTTCTCTACTCTTACTTCCTTAGCATAAGGTTTTAAGTTTTTTCACTTGGGAGAGCTAAGCAGGGCTTCTAGATTACTTGCACTCATTTTTTCTCCATCTTCTAGGATCAGTAGTGGCCACGTACAGGAAGACACATTTGTGTGATGTAGAGATTCCAGGACAGGGGCCTATGCATGAAAGCAACTCTACCATGCCTGGGCCTAGTCTTGAGGCACCTGTCAGCACGCCAGCAGGCAAGGTGGGAATTGGAAGAGGATGAAAATGGGAGAGGAAAAAGAGGGGAGTAGGAATATACTAAAATGTGTGGATAGAAAGCCCTGACTGGGATACTGGAGGTAATAGAACTGTGACAAGGAGGACAGGGAGACTTAAGTAGGCTGTTTTTCGTTTCAGATTGGTCTAGCTATCTGTTATGACATGCGGTTCCCTGAACTCTCTCTGGCATTGGCTCAAGCTGGAGCAGAAATACTTACTTATCCTTCAGCTTTTGGATCTGTTACGGGCCCAGCCCACTGGGAGGTAAGAGGATACCTCTTCAAAACCTAAGGGCAGCCAGGCACTGGTGGCTCATACCTGTAATCCTACTTAGGAAGCTGAGAGCTGAGGATAACAGTTTAAAGCCAGTCCAAGCAGTAAAGTCCTATCCCCAGTTAACCACCAGAAAACCAGAGGTAGAGCTGTCACTCAAAGTGGTAAAGCACTAGCCTTGAGTTGGGGCTCAACATCATAGAATACTAGCCTTGAAGGGACAGTGGCCAAGCACTGAGTTCAGGTCCCATGACCCACAAAAAAAAAAAAAATCTAAGGGCTTTATTTTAACCCCATTGTCTCTTGTCCCATCCAATTGATTTTCTTCCCACATAGTGGGAAAATTAATTTCCCAGATAGTTGCTGTTCATAGTCATTAAAGAAGTACTTTGTTCCTTAAGCATTACCAAAATGGTCACATTGGACAAATCTGTGGTACCAACTTCCTGTTGCTTCCCCAGCCGTTGTCTGTGTAGTTGAGTGATCAAGCATCTCATCCTCAGGTGTTACTGCGAGCCCGTGCCATTGAAACCCAGTGTTATGTGGTGGCAGCAGCACAGTGTGGACGCCATCATGAGTCGAGAGCAAGTTATGGCCACAGCATGGTGGTGGATCCCTGGGGAACAGTGGTGGCCCGTTGTTCTGAGGGGCCTGGCCTCTGTCTTGCCCGAATCAACCTCAGCTATCTGCGACAGATACGCCAACACCTGCCTGTGTTCCAGCATCGCAGGCCTGACCTCTATGGCAATCTGGGTCACCCACTGTCTTAAGGTTTTTGACTTAAGACCTCCATTGTGAGGTTGTGCTGCTATGACTTATAGCAGGACCCAAACAGCTCCCCTCACTCAGAGAACCTTAAGCTGGCTTAGTAGAACACAAATTCAACTTCTTGGGAAGAAAAACTTTGAGCTGAGCTCAGATTTCAGTTTCAGAAAAGTGTAATTTTATATAGTCACTGTTTATTTCATGAAAACTGAAGTGATGCTGAGGGCCAAGCAGCACTGGAATTGTAAAAATAATAATAATCATAATGTCTGTGTCTGGAGATCTCTTTTGGGAGCTGGAAGGGTGGTATTGTACCTGCTGTACTAGGTCCAGTTCTAGGTCTCCTGGCTTACTCAACATGCCTCCCTACCTAAAAAAAAAAAAAAAAAGTGCAACACTCAGTGCATTTCCTAGTCCCATTCTCCCAGGTATGAGAGTGGGAATAGGGGTAGAGGAGGGAGAAGGGAATAGGGAGGAATTGATACCAAATTATTTTACTTTCTCCTATAGTGCCCTTTGCCCAACCAGAAGCAAGAGGGCTTGAACATAATGTCACACTCCCCCTTCCCCTTTTCAGAGGGAGTATATTATAGTCAGCAGCTTCTACTCCATCCACTGTATGGAACCCATAACAGACGGGAGGGATATTATGATCTTAATCCTCCTATCTGTTACTTCCTTGAAGAGGGTTTGACAAAGAGGAAAAAGGAAGGAACCATACCAGGCAGCAGTTGCAAGCCATGGAATGGAGGAAAGGCAGAGAGGAGCAGCACCAGAGGCCAGGAGAGAGTGGAAAGGGCCATAGCTTGTTTTTCTTTTAAAAAAAAATTCTGTAATTTGGAAGAAGGTGGTAATTAATTTCCAAAATACACCTTCCCACCTTCCACACAGCTTCCTTACTCACAGCCCTTTGGTTTTTCAGACAAAATTTTAAGAGCCCTCATAAAGCCAGAAGTATTGATTACCCCCTCAATGCACCCAAAAGCAGTGTTGACTTCAATCCCTTACAAAGACTATGATCTATAGACTTTGATTCTCCCTATACATTTGTCTTACGGCTCAGTGGTAAGGTGGCTGTAGAGACGCACATTAGGGGTAAGTAGAAACTGGAAACAAAGGGAAAGCCCAGGCACATGGGTGCAGGGAGGGATGGGGAACACCACTTCCACTTTCCTTTGTCTTTTCCTTTAAAAAGAAGAAGAAAAAAAAAAAAAAGGCAGGGGTGGGTGTGATTGATTGGAAGGGGAGAGAACAAACCCCAGAACAGTATATAAGCTCCAGAGGTGGGTGTTGGGAACAGTCTCCAGAGAAGTGAGGAAGGGAAAGGTCAGGGCAGAGCTTGAAGCATCAAGTTCCTCAGGAGTTTCTGTCGGCCCAGCTCATAGTCCTCCTCGTCCACATTCACCAGCAGCTTGATGGCTTCATGGCCCACAGCTTGCTTGAGGGAGTCTGTGATGAAGACACCTTTAAGTGCCTCTAGTAATGAGCCATTGATGTAGTCGCGCCAGAATGCGTCGAGGTAGGTGAGCTCAGAGAACTTGATGTCACAGATGATGGAGCCCAGGTCCCGGGACTTGAGGATGGTGTTGGCCTGGTTAAAACGCTCAAACTGGCGCTCAAGTGGGTCCTGCTTGTTAGAGAAGACATTTCCCTGCAGAGCAGTTTCATGCTGGCAGTATTCAGCCCGAACCCGCAGTCTGATGTCTGTTGGAAAGGGAAGATAGGAACAGAAGAGGTTACAGTGGGGAATGTGTTTACAACTCATTTGAAAAGAACAGCAAAGTAGCAGTCTCTACTGTCAGCTTCTCTGTTTCCCAGGACTAGCTTCCCCTAAACCCCGCACATCCTGGGCCTTGAACTCTGGGTATTATCCCTAATCTCCTTTTGCTCAAGGATAGTACTCTACCCTTGAGCTACTATACCACTTCTGGCTTTTTCTGTGATTAATCAAAGATAAAAGTCACGGATTTTCTTGCCCAGGCTGGTTTTGAACCACGATCCTCAGATCTGTTTTCTGAGTAGCTAGGATTATAGGCCTGAGCCACCAGCAACCAGCTTAGTTTTGTTTTTTTTATTATTTTTTTAATGCATCTTTGAAATTCTTGTTTCCCTTAAATGGGATATATCCAGGTCAGCACTACTCCCATTACTTACAATCAACACTTTCATAATAGGAGGTATTTTCCTAATTAACAGACAAGTTCATTTTAATACTCGATCATCCTATATCAGCATCCCACAAAGGACTCTTCCCAGCAACTATAAACTATTCAACTTTACTTTGTAATAACGAAGAACCTTGCACTGAATAACATAGACTATCCAGTATTCCAGACGTTCTTTTTATTTTCTTTCAGCCCTACACCTCTGAAACCCTTGAACTTCCTCACCACACGTCTGCTTTTCCTTGGGATCTGGTGTCACTGACTTCCGACGTTTTCGCTGGCTCCCAAGTGTAGCTCTCCCTCTGACTGGCCGCTTACTACACATCTGAGGACCCGAAGTGGGACAGCACACCACGGGATAGTGGGGAGGCACTAATCAGAAGGCAAAATGGAAGAAAACAGTAGAATAAAAGCAAAAGTTCAAATATTTATGTGGGAATTCAGACTTAGCTCTAAAAGTGGTATCAATAATGTGACTTCAGGCTTGGGATTGGTTTGGCGGGGAACAGTGCTTGCCTAGCATTCCTAAGGGCCTGGGTTTGATCCCCAGCACCTTAAAAAAAAAAAAAAAGCCAGGCACTGGTGGCTCACACCTGTACTCCTACCTACTCAGGAGGCTGAGAGCTGAGGATCACAGTACGAAGCCAGCATGGGCAGGAAAGTCCTTGAGACTCTTGTCTCCAATTAACCACCAGAAAACCAGAAGTGGCACTGTGGCTCAGGTGGTACAGTGCTCACCTTGAACTGAAGAGCTCAGGGACAGTTCATAGGCCCAGAGGTCAAGCCCCACGACTGACCAAAAAAAAAAAAAAAAAAAAATTTGTGCTAGCCAGGTCCAAGAGCTCACACCTGCAACCCTAGCTACTCAGGAGACTGAGATCTGAGAATCACAATTCAAAGCCAGCTGGGACAGTAAAGACTCTTATCTCCAATAAGCCATTTAAAAAAACAAAACAAAACAAACTCAAGGATGGCACCAGGGCACAAAAAAAAAAAAAAAAAAGCTGTGCCAGATGGGCTAGACTGCAAGTTCTTAGCCAGCCTGGGCTATACAGCACAACTATCCAAGACCAGACTTAGGTAAAGCACTAACACTTCACCTGATTTTTTTATGTGGTAGATATAGGGAAACAACATCCATTCATTTAAGCTGAATAAACCAGAAATGCTTGATTACAAAAACTAGTAATAGTAGTATCTTCTTACCTGTTTTAGAGGGTTGGGAAGACCTTGGTTCTGGATCACTGAGGGTTCTAGGGGTCACATAGCGAATCGATGTCTCCTCCAGATACTTGTCTACAAGATCAGGGCACACTGTAGAGGAAGAAAGAGCCATTCAAGAAAAAAATACACCCCTTATCCCAATGGGCCTCATAACTTATACTCCTCTAAGTATTCCTTAGTGTTAAGGCTGCCTCCCTTTTAAGATTCCTATCCTGTTCATTCCTGGCCTCTCCCAATTCTTTCCTGATTCAAGTCCCCAGGCCCAGGTAAGCCCTCACCAGCCCGTCTCTTCTTGAGGGTGACATAGGGTAACAGGTCATGGCGAGTGATGATGCGCAGCAGCTGCAGCACCTGGCGAAAGTTACTCTCGTCACAGCGGCCCTGGCGCTCCAGTGCCAATAAGAAGTCACGTCCATTTCGGATGAGTCCACGTTCATGGTCGTCAATAACATCAACAAAGAGAAAGGAAAGCACTCGTACATCTCTGTGTGTCAGGTGTGTGCCCACAATGTCAAACATACGGTGCAGGCTATAGAGCCCATGCTCCTGTTCACCATGCTCTTCTGGCCACACCTGGCTTGCCTGTCGCTTTAGGCCCGCCATGCTGGGGGCTCAGGGACAAAATCCTTGCCAGAATCCCTGCTCAGCAGCTGCAATCCCCAGGATACTGTAAAGACAGAATGAGAAGTTCAGAGACAATGACAGCCAACTAGTTTAATTTCAATGAGCCTTACATTATGCCTGTCACAGTACTGCTAAATGCATGCTTGTTAAGTACTTTTATTTTTTTTTTTTTTGCCATTACTGAGGCTTAACCTAGACACTGTCCCTGAGGTTTTTGCTCAAGGCTAGCACTTTACCACTTGAGCCACTTTCAACTTTATGGAAGCTCACTGGAGATAAGTCTCAGACTTTCCTGCCCAGGCTGGCTTCAAACAGTAATCTCAGATCTCAATGTCCTAAGTAACTAGGCTTACAGGCATGGGCCAGAGGCACCTGGCAATACTTTTAAAGTATTAATTTAATTTAATTAATGTATTTCATAATACTGTCCCTTAACTTTTTTTTACTGAAGGCTGGTGCTTTAGTACCTGAGCCACATCTTGACTTCTGGCTTTTTGCTGGTTAATTGGACATAAGAGTTTTACAGGCTTTTCTGCCCAGGATTGGCTTTGAACTTTATAATCTTTTCAAATGTCAGCCTCCTGAGTAGCTAGGATTTGAGCCACTGGACCCTGGCTTTTATTTATTTATTTATTTATTTTGTCAGTCATGAGGCTTGAACTCTGGGTTTGGGCACTATCCCTCAGTTCTTCAGCTCAAGGCATGTGTTCTACCATTTGAGCCACTTCCAGTTTTCTAGTGGTTTATTGGAGTTAAGAGTCTCATGGACTTTCCTGCCCAGGCTGGCTTTGAACCATGATCCTCAGATCTCAGCCTCCTGTGTAGCTAGGATTATAGGTATGAGCCACCCCAGCTGGAGCCTGGCTTTGAAGTGTTTATTTAACAAAACAAACCCTAGCCAGTTGCCAGTGGGTCACACCTGTAATCCTAGCTACTCGGGAGGCTGAGATCTGAGAATTGTGGTTCAGAGGCAGCCCAGGCAAGAAAGTCCCCTGGAGACTCTAATTGCCAATTACCCACTCAGAAACTAGAAGAAAAGCTGTAGCTCCAAGTGGCAGAGCACTCACTAGCCTGAGCAAAAAAAGCCCAGGGACAGCATCCTGGCTGACTTCAAGCCCCATCACAAAAAAAAAAAAGCCAAAAAACACCAAAACACACACACACACATACACAAACTCTAAAACTCTCCATACCCAATAATTAATTCTCTAATTCGAGATCTATTGAAAGAATACAGACATTTCCCCTAAATGAAAATGTTATATGCAATTTCAGGCTACACATTTGGAGAAAATTGCCATTACATATAACCTGAATTGCTCCTCTTGGCCCAAAACACTTTATTTGGTCCTTTGAAAACTTATAGTCACCACTCCAGCCAATTCATTTCTTAACAACAGACAAAACTAGAAGTAGAGACTTCACTCTTAATATAGAAGCTGAATCAGATGAATTTAGGGACAAAGTAGGATAACTGAAAATGTTTAGTAACAAATATTTCAGATTCTGACCACATTATTAACAAGCTGTTCACCTGAGAATTTAAGCAAGTCACTTAACTTCAAAGTCTCAGTGCCCTTATCTATAAAGCAGAGATGAAAATATCCACTTTCATATTCTAAGAATCCAATGAGTGAACCAAGTCACAACTGTAATCCTAGTGACTCAGAAGGTAAGATCTGAGGATCAAAACTCAAAGCGAGGGGCTGGGAAAGTGGCTCAGTAGTAGAGCACTTGCCTTGCATGCATGAAGCCCTGGGTTCGATTCCTCAACACCACATAAAGAAAAAGAAAAAAGC